TTAAGAGGAAAAGAACAGCTGAAATCCAACATTCTAATTCTTGTTTGAGCAGGTGTCAGAGAATTAATCACCTTTACATGTTGGAGGATTACGGGACCATCCAAAGTGGTAGCACTGAAGAGAGTCTGGTCCAACGAGAGTGAGGAGTCTATTTCTGCAGGAGAATCTCAACACGTCTCCAATGACATATTTCTCTTTCTGGGGCTGAGCAATTAAGTTTGGATCTATATCGGGAACGATGCATTCTCTTTCTATAAAAAGAGTAAATAATTTAATGAGATCGGATGATTAACCAGTGCCAAGTAAACTTTATATGTCATGCAAGAATAAGTGGCTGGGTGCTGCCTATACGGAGAGGCATCAAATAAATGCTCTCCCTGGAAGTGCATTATCTATTATGTCTGACACATCCCTCACATTCATATGGGACTCTCTGATAGCAATAGATGTGTCCTGAGCACTTATTTGTAACATCAACTAGCTTATAGTGGATCTGATTTTACCAATGACATTAGGAAAACTAAATGCTACATTTTTGGTATTATCAAAACAATTCTATGCCCTCACATTAAAGAACTAATGCTACAATTTTAAATTGCATGCTTAAAGAAAAATTAGTATAGTAATGTAATATACTTGGGGACCAGGACATTCAAACAGAGGCATTTCTCATATATTTTAGTAGAGGAACATTAAAAGTTGCTTAGTTATTAACTTAAATCAATTGCTATGAAGAATAAAATCCCAACTCTTTCACGCCTACACTTCCAATGCCATCTTATCTTTCCTCCCTTTGTTGATCCAGACCCCAGGCTTCATGGTCTCTGAACATTTTTAAGAGATCAAGTTCCTTGCTCTCCCTGTTGCACGGTTCCGAATGGTTTTCAACCTTTCTGTGTAGAGATGCCTTCCTCTATGAAACAAGCCCCCAATCCCTCCCATTTCTGAAGTCCTTGGATGTATTTGTTCCTTTGAAAATATAAAAATGTATTAGATATATTATTACTATATGATTCATTATTGGACTTTTTTCATTGTTGTTGTTTTTTCCATAATAAAAGGAGCCTGTGGGGAGCCCATACTAGGTGGGTGTGGAAGCCGGCATGGAGAATGTAGTCTAATCACCAGAATATTTTTTAAAAATATGAGAATGTTTGTCAACATGGAAACATTTCATAGATATGGATGAATGAACAATGCTGCCCATCAGCTTGGTGTTGCCCAAAGACACACGCTTGGCGAATCGTGGAATGGAATTGAAACCCACCCAGACTATGAATCCGTCTGTCAGACTTCCTGCCCCTTTCATCCTTTTATCTCCCCACACCTAAGGCAACGTTCATTCCAACATTTTTTCCTCCTGGTTCTCTGAGTCCTTTCATTCTCTCTGTGTTT